GTTTGTGTGTGTGTGTGTGTGTGTGTGTGTGTGTGTGTGTGTGTGTGTGTGTGTTTGTGTGTGTGTGTGTGTGTCTATATATACATTTGTACATATAAAAAGGGATAGGACCAGTGTTATATATTATAATCTTTGACTCTCCCTTTTTTCTCACAAACCACACAGTTGTGTTCATCTGCTTGACTTTGTCCTGTTATTTTCTTGCTATTAGAACTAAAGACAGCCTCACATTATACAACATTGTTACTAGTAGTGTAGAATAGGATCTATCTAAAATAATAAAACGTAATAAAATAAATAAATTACACTTTTATTTGTCCCAGAAGAGCACTTTGGTTTACAATGGCAAACATACATAACATGTATAATAATATAATAAATACGCACATACATAAATACATAATAATATTATACATACGTACATAATGCATGCACAAAATACATACGTAAATACACAATATTAATTGCACAAATACAGAACAGTTTACAACCACGCCATTGTCGGTCGCCACTGTGCAGCGCCCTGTATTTTGAGTTAGGGTTGTCGTGTCTTGCTCATCAAGGACACACCCCAGTGCCCCCCCCCCCCCCAATCATGTGATCCCCGTGTCACCGACACTTGCTTGACATTACTTGAGTCTAAACTCACTACTCACTTAACATATTCACTTATGCAATACTCTATGCGCTTAACATTATAAATATTATGGATTTACAAATCAATTTTAAAGGCACATAGTATTACAAACGCGTGCCCACACATATTCACGCTCGCACGCACCACACACAGCCACTGTCTGTAACTCATCAGTATCGGTATTTCCCCAGTTGAGCGGCCAGGAACTGTCGTGGTACATGCTCCGACTGCTCACAGACGCGGGTCACGTGATCACCGGCTCACCCACCGAGCAGCTCCGACTGGCAGAGGACGTCAAGGAGCGACTGTGCCGTGTGGCGCCGGAACCCTTACAGGAAAAAGACTCGAACTCAGACCAGCCAGGTTGTAGCAGCACCGAGGAGACGGAGGAGTATCCTCTGCCCGACGGCTCAATCTTCTCTGTGGGCCGGGAGAGGTTCCTGTGTCCCGAGAGCATCTTCCAGCCGCCCCTGCGCGGGGAAGAGATGCCGGGGCTGCACGAGATTGTCCACAGCGCCATCCGGAGATGTGACCCTGACCTTCAACCTGTCATGTCCGCCAACGTCCTGCTGTGCGGCGCCGCCTCCCTCTTCCCTGGTCTGGGCGACAGGTTCCAGGCCGAGATGGACAAACTGGCGGAGGTCAAGGCCGGGGACTACAAGGTCAAGGTCACGCATATACAGGATCCTCACACTGCGTTCCGGGGCGGCTCACGTCTGGCTGCCAGTGAGGAGTTTGTTCATCGTTACCTGACCCGAGAGTTTTACGAGGAGTATGGGCCCAGCGCTGTCGTTAGACATTTTATATGATCATGGGTCTCAACTCAGAATTCTAAAAAGGAGGAACTTTCCGGGTGATCGCCACAGAAGCCCTTTTTCGCGAAACACCCATTATTATTATACTGTTGAATCCTAGAATGCAGAAATGAAAACTATCAATTTATCAAAGCAAGGTTATTTCACACCAATTTGAGGGTTTGGGAGATAATTTCAAGTAAGAGTCACGTACCAAATATTTACAATCTTGATTACGTACAGAAAATGGTGGCGCCTGGGGTCTTGAGCGACTTATTTATATTTTCCCTTCATCATAATTGCCTGTATATATAAACTATTTAAAAAGGAATATTGTTTTGAGCCTAGAACCAGAATATCGACTGTCATGATTCATATCATATTTATACATATATGTCACCAATCCAATGAAACGCGAAAACTTAGGCCCCTAAGTTCCATAACACGGTTACAAGTTGTGACGGTTCCCGATTTCACACAAGGTCTGCACCAACGCACACCTTACTTTGCAGAGGTCAGGTAGTAATCAAAATTCTAAACATTAAACATTAGCTTTCAGTTTCAGTTTTGTTGTCCTCTGGTGTTGCGTCCAGCCCTCCCCCTATCCCCGAGTGCGTCTTTTAAACAAATCAGTAATCTCCCCCCCCCCCCCCCCATTCTTGAGTCCTGTACTTCGAAGCGCTCAGAACGCGCGCAGGTTCATTGACCGGTCACAATGGCGAGCCCGACAAGACGCTTGTATAACTTTCTTTGTGTGTGTGTGTGTGTGTGTGTGTGTGTGTGTGTGTGTGTGTGTGTGTGTGTGTGTGTGTGTGTGTGTGTGTGTTACCCCCACAAGTGACAGCACAGTGACAAATATTGATTTATTTTCATGGCAACACCACGTTTGTAAAGCCGAACCGGCATGTTACAATAAATGTTGCGTCATCAGACAATTACTGACAAACTTCTGGGTGGTAACGAAAGCGAAAGTAGATCTTGATTTTCCAGTCGAGCCTTGGTGACACAATTCCGCTTTCCGCCTAAGCCGCCAGTTCGCGTGAAACGTACTCTCAGAGCCGAATTAATGTCACAATCGCGACCGGCAGAAATGAACTTAAAGAGGTTGTTGGATTTGGTTTTCAAATATTCGAGATCTTTTTATGTATTTTCCCCGGATCTCGGCGATTTTTTTTTAAATTCCCGGGGCCAGGCATTCACCCAGCTCCCAACAACTCTCTTTCTGATTGGCCCGCTGTCGCGGTAGCGGAGTTTAGGGGAGGAAATCCGCTAAATAGCGGACTATTGAGACCCATGAGACGTGGGTCAAATGTGCACATGCATAATAATATGACATGGCTGACCCTGGTTCGAATCCCCAAATGAAGTGTTTTAGAACTGGGATCTTTGGGGCATTTTCTAAGGCTTCTCTGAATCAGAGATGGCTGTTAAACTCGTAGGTCCTACCTGTCAAATGTTTACTTTTTCTTTTTCACCCTCTGTTGCCGTTAAGCGTCGAGGGGCTCAAATGTCGTTACGGTGTTGTAAGTGGTGGCCGAGCCATACAATGACACGGATCAACTTTTGAAACAAAGTTACGAGATGTAGAACAACTATAATAGTACGTTTTGATTATGTGCCATGTGGCTTCACAGCCCACCTAAAACTTTCGGTGCTTTACTTAAGCAGCCTATATATAGTACATGGTGTGTTCCGCTTGCTGTAAAAATGTCAGTGTTACAAAAATGGAAGAGATACTCATTCTGTGTTATAGATCTACTACTGTTACAGTAGGCCTACCTTGTACTCACAAAGGTAAAATATTACTGTTGAATTGTTTTGACCATAAATGCTTTTCTCACCCTGTCCCAGGGTACATAGGCCACCAACAAACACTTTCTCAGCCTGCACCAGGGTACATCTACTTACTTGTATGTATGTATAGGTCACCAAAAAACTCTCCCCCTTTCCCTATCCAGGGCTAGTCTCTTGATATTATTCCATGTCTTCCCACTTTTCTGTACATGTACAACATTCTCTGTGACTCATCTCCGGGTTCCATTGTATGTGCTGTCTGTATCTCTTCATATCTTGTCACACTTGTATGTCTGTATCTGTTCATCTCTTGTCACGCTTGTATGTCTGTATCTGTTCATCTCTTGTCACGCTTGTTTGTATGTCTGTATCTGTTCATCTCTTGTCCCACTTGTATGTCTGTATCTCTTCATCTCTTGTCACACTTGCATGTCTGTATCTCTTCATCTCTTGTCACACTTGAGCACTCTGTCCTGCTTCATACATGCTGCAGACATTCCACGAGGGTGTTCTGATGTGGTTTGCTCCTTCTTTCGTGTCCACCATCTATCATCCTTATCTCCCCTCAACTCCTTCTTTTTTGTGTTCGTTACTGTCTTGTAACACCCCTAATCTTCGGCACTTATATGACCTTTTGTGTGTCGCAAAACTCTCACAAAGACTAAAGTAAAGGATATTCTATGACGATATTCTGGGGAGACTTGTTCCGTGAAGAAGGTGTGGGTCAGGAGAGCCCCTTAATCGGCTTTGTCCACTGTCCTTCATCTGTCCGGCTTGCGCAGAAGCTTCTCTGTCTCCCAAGATGAAAAAAATCAGACGTGTTTGCTTGTGTTTTTGAAAGTTTATAATTTATAGTTTTTACTGCAGGGTCAGGTAGTTGACCCTCCACCAGGCGGCTCTTTTTGGAGACCAGACCTATGCACCTGTTACGGCAGCTGCTATTCTTTGCTCCTTCATAGTAAAACTATACCTGCTCCCCCCCTCCCTCCCACACCACCACCTGCAGAGGCGTGAATTATCTTTAATATCAACAATGTTTTGTGTTGTTAAGTCCCTTACATTCCGCTATATTTTATCACTTGTTGTTTTCTTTAAAATAATATATAAATAGCATTGTCAACTGTTACTGGATACATAGACAAAGTTTTTCATTTTAATAATGTATTACTATTACTATTACTATTAGTCAAAGCAGATGAATGAATCTTGAATGCACAAATTTGACAACTGTTCTTAGTCTTTCAAATAATAAAACCCAATGTTTCTTTCTTTTCTGGGGACATTCCTCTCAAATGTTATACATATTTGTACATACTATACCATGTACATGATGTATGTGGAGACAGTTTTGGTAGGCTACTATTAATACTATTATTACATGTACATATTTTCGTGTAATTATTTCATCTTTGTTTCTTGTGTTTCTTTCAACCCAGAGAGTGTTTAACTGTTGTATTTTTAAGTTGCCTGAAATAGGTAACAACTCTAGAAGATCCACTTTTTACTTTTTTTTATGCAGTAGATTTACATGCAACATTTTTTAAAATTTAATGTCTGAAATTTCTATGAAACATTCAGTATTAATGTATTATTAATTATTAGTTTGAAATATTTTACTCCACAGTATGTCTTATCACATAAAAAAGTTTACTATTTATTACTGACTTAATTAATTGTGAGACAACGTGGTGGAATCAGGCTCTCGTCAATTTTGGGGCATGTTGAGTTATTGATATTATCTAAAGCTTGTTCACTTGTCTTTATTTGGAGGATAAAAATATCCATTTATCTTGAATACAAGTCGAGATATATTTGCAAAAGGAGGAGGTGGGGGTCACCTGTTTTCAGAGGTAAAATTAGTGAGAAAATGGCCGCCAAAGATTAGTTATTTCCTTAGTTTAAGAGTCCGTGGTAACTGGAAATTTTCATTTTTGTGCCTTTAATCAAGGCTTTTCAGTAAAATTCCACACAGGAACGAGTTCTTTAATGGGCATGAAAGGCGTTGAGCCAAAAAACAAAAATTTGATAAAAATTCACAAACCTGCGGAAAAAATGCAAGTTTCTTCACTGATTATTTTGACGAGAGCCTGATTCCACCACGCTGCCTCACTATTGTTTAAGTTCAATATTTTGTTATTTCATAAGTTGTAAAATAAAATGAAGATGAAGTATAATGATATCTTTTCGAATACAAACACTCTCTCTGGTAAACTGTGAGAGGTTGTTCACAGTCACAGAGACTTCTACATTACTAATACATAAAACTTCATAGTATTGTGATATATGATCAGTTCTATTTTCCATATATATATATAGTATTTCAAGTTTACTTAGTTGTAGTAAGAGTTTTATAGCACTTGCAACACCGAATAGATGTAGAGGGAGACGGGGAGTGAGAGCGGAAGGATAGAGTGAGGGTGAGAGAGAGAGAGGATAGAGTGAGAATAAGAGTGAGAGAGTGAGAGGATAGAGATAGAGTGAGAGAGAGAGGATAGAGATAGAGTGTGTGAGAGAGAGAGAGAGAGAGAGGATAGAGTAAGAGGATAAAAGTGAGAGTGAGAGGATAGAGAAAGAGTGAAAGTAAGAGTGAGAGTGGGAGAGAGTGAGAGGATAGAGATAGACTGAGATTGAGAGGATAGAGTGAGAGGAAGAGGATAGCGTGAGAGTGAGAGGATAGAGTTAGTTTAGTTTCAGTAGAGGTTTTATGGCACTCGCAACTGCATAAGGTCATAAATGAGCGCCAGAAGATTAGAGGTGTTACAAGAGAGTAACAAACATAAAAAGAAGGGGAGATAAGGACAATAGATGTTTGATTTTGATAGGAAAGAAGGAGCAAACCACACCAGAGCACCCGCCAACCACCCAAGAGGATAGAGTGAGAGTGAGAGTGAGAGGAAAGAGATTGAGTGAGAGGACAGAGATAGACTGAAAGTGAGAAGATAAAGTGAGCGGATGTTTTGTCAAGGGGATAGACACTGGCACCAGTCGTGTAGTGGTTAGGTGTTTCAATGTCGCTCACAGGAGACCCCGAGTTCAACCTTCAAGTGGGGAGCATGTTCATTGAGTATTTTGGTCTTTCTGTTGGGATATTGTACATCCGGGCAAGATCTGCGGTAGACATTGGCGATCATGGTTCTCCATTCATCCCTTTGCTCGGATTCGGATGCTCTTAAAAAAGCCATGTTACCCCGATCTTTCCCTGTCAGTACTGTCACTCATCTGTTTTGGTTTTCAAAGTAGGTTGCTCTGGGCATACCCCTGTTTCGTTTGCCTTCAATATTGCCACTGAGAGCTAGATGTTCAAGACCGTTATGTCTATTCAGGTGTCTCAAAAATTGCATTTGTCTTTTCCTAAATGTTTTTAACAGTGAGGGTCCCACATGGACCTAATCAAGTAGGCCTACTAACTCATTTGATTTCTTTTCCTTCCAAGATATTCTCAGCAGTCTCCTAACTGTCATTAGTGACCGTTAAATGCTTCCTAAAATATCTAACTTGTGTCTTTTTGGGGGCCATAAAAACACTTAGGTACATTAAAAGAGAGGGGCGGAAAGAGATTAGCCCATGGAAAATCCAAGTACTGATTTTGATAACAAAATTACAACATTCATTATTCCTAAAATGTAGGACAGCCATCTTGGGCATCTATGTGTGCAACACTCCCCCCCCACCCCAAAAAAAAACAACAACAACAACAAAAAACATCACAACACAAACAAACCACAAAAGTCAGGTGCTAAGTAAAAGACATTTTAATCAATGTGATAAATACCAGAACTACTCTGGAGGCCTACAAATACCCAGCACACACAAAATGATCAAACACACCGGCCGTCTGGTCAGTAGCCTTCACCTTCAACAACTCGTGTGAGGATTTGGCCTCATGGACAATAAACAATTTGTCCCAAACCAGAGAAACTGTCGAGACAAACGGAACAAGCAGCCAAACACAAAGACAAACATCCCGAGTTGTTCAACGGTCTGTGCTGACCTGACGTCATGTCAAGACAGCACACTGTAGAGTCACGGCCCACACAGCTCCGACTAAATCCTCCCTCATGACCCATCTCCAAAACCACTTCTTTCAATTCCACTTGACTAAAATCACCTCTGGTAAAACTTTAGAATACAGACAGGCGGGCAACAACCTCCCCGCCCCACCACGTTGCTCACCCTCACAGTCCCCAGCCCTCAGTAGACAAGAGCCAACAAGTGTGAGTACAAACAACAGAAACGGAAACATATCAATGTCTCTACTTCATCTGCTTACTTAGAAGATCATCATCATCGTTGCCGTCATCAGTTTCCTCTGTCGCATCACAGTCCTTCCAAGCCAGGAACTCAACAATCTGTCAGGGAGTCACACAATTAGACCCCCCACTCCCCCCCCCAATCCCAAACATTCTTGCCCTAATCTTGTACACTGCCTACTTCAACTTGGTGAATAGAGACTTGGCTACCTGTGGGAGGGAAACAACACAGTCAAGTCAGACAAAACCATCAACTCTCCTTGTCGCTGACTCACACAGACAGACAGACAACATATCCTCACACATACAAAATACATGGGTCTCAACTCAGAATTTTAATAAAGGAGGAACTTTCCGCGTGATTGCGACTGAAGACCATTTTCCTGAGAAACCCATTATTATTATACTGTTTAACCCGTCACATTTATAAAAAAGCAAGGTTATTTCATAAAAATTTGAGGGTTTGGAAGATAATCTCAAGTAAAAGAGTCACTAACCAAATATTTACAATCTTTATAATATGTTACAGCAAGTGGTGGTGCATTACTGGCCCCTCCAAGCAACTCTCTTTGCCATCGACTGTTTCTCAACAGTTTAGCGGAAGAAATGACAGTAGTGGAAATCCGCTAAAAAGCGGATTATTGAGACCCTTGCACATAACACGCAGCTTTCTACTCGAAACACTGTCTGACCTTTGGTTTACTTCTAGTCTTTCAAAGCGTCTAGTCAAGGTCACCAGCACCCGTGGTGCAGCCGTTACGTACTTCGCTTTCACTGTTACAGGCAGAGACCCGAGCTCAGTTCCACAGTGACTTGTGCAGCATCGTTTTATCTATTTTCACATGTTTTTCTATTTAAAAACAAAAAAACAAAAGACAAACACGTACCAGGTACGTTACGAGACCCGCCAAACCCCCCGAGACCAAAATCACAAATTTTCCTCAGGAACTCCCCCCCACACTTGAGTTTGGGGGAATGATTCAGAGTCTCCGGAACCCCAGTAGACGAATATTACATAACGAACCCAAATTAGCAAATAAACAATGTGTGCTGCAAACAGACAAATTAAAACTGTATGATCATGTATCTTACGATAAGTCACATTCCGCCATGGGAAACAAGGTTTTAAGCAATTCTGACTGGGGTTATTCATAGCATGCGTGTGCGTGTGTGGTTGAGCCACAAAGCTCAGAAGCAGCGTACTCACACAATGGTCTACACAATGCATGAAGTCAATGATTTCCTCTGTGCATGTCTCCGAAGTCTTGGAACGACCCTCCACGCGGGCGTTACATTCGTCCAGCTTCTCCTTCAAGGTCACGCACTCCCTCTTCTCCGAGCAGCTTTCCTTCAGGGTGTCCTGGGGGTCCTGTGCAAACACAAACAACACATAGAGGACAATGGAAGTGAGCTGGTGCTAAGATAAGATATGACAAGATTTTATTGATCCCAGTAAAGAGTTACACACACAAGCACGTACAAACTCACACACACTCTCTCTCTCATTCCATACATTTACACACACACACACTTACATATAATATGAATATGGGACACATACACACAAACAGTCACTGGATGGACAATCAACATGATATTTATCTCACACAGGAGACAGTGTCTCAATAACTTGTATTGTGCACCCATCAACTACTCACAAATAGAGCGAAGATTGCTGAAACTTAAACCAAACAGAATTAATTCTAAAAAAGCTGCCAACAGAAAGAAAATAAAAGTTACCGAATTTTGTCCTTTATTTGACAAACCTCTCTTCTTAACAGAAAACCCGGCGGTCATGCAGATTTCGGTTTCAGTGGACTCCATATTTAACTCAGCTTTCCATTTTGAAGTTTCCCAAACGGTTTATACTGCTGTGAATATCTTATGATTTCGACGAAACAAATTTGATCATTTAGAAGGCAGGCCGCCCCCACTCTGCCAACCCAGACTGAGTGGGACACACTTCAACAAACAGACGGAGTAACTCGATGAAAGAACTTCCTCACAGGAAAATCAAACTCACAACACCTGAGTGTAACAACCAAGAGCTGAACCATAACAGCCATCATCATGAAAGTAAACAACAAAAATCCGGAGCTTTTGAGTAAACAGAAGCACAACGACACTACAACAGTCATACAGTGCAGGAGAAGCAAGACAGATCAGATAGACAGAAACAGCAGAGGGAAAGTAAAGAAGTAGGACCTACCAGTGGAGCCCTCCAACCACCAACAAAACAGCAAGACTACACTTTTGTTCATAAATATTTAATTTCAAAATGAATAAGCCAGAGGAACTTTACTATTCTTTCACTTTTCTCTACAGAGAGCTAGTGGTGCTCTCAGACAAAAAAATTCCAAACAAATTCTCACTAGTTGTAGGTACCAGAAACTAAATTTTCAAACTAGCTGTATGCCAAATTTATCTGTTCCATTTGAAAGGCCTATATCCACTGAGCATTTTGGTACCATTCTTTAACCTCTCCGTCAATTTTAAAGAAAATTGTAGTTGTTTAAAATTTGATCAAATTTGTTAAAGTCAGTCACTGGCTGCAACCCCATGTTTGACAGACAATAAAAAAGTAACAAGTGCACTAAACATCTCCACATTAACAGAATACAATCACTATAACAAATATATGGAGCATAATTTTTTTCAAGACTGTGAGATCTTTACAAATCTGTATTTTATCACCTAAAACACGATATCTATCGTTATTTCGACAAAAACACAGAGCGTTGACCCGGCCGGCGTTGCACCGGCCCCCGCGGCGAGCGAGTCGGCTCTATACTGTAGTGTACCCCGCGTGCGCGGTCACATGTTTTCTGAGTCTCGCGGAAGGATTGATGAAAAATAATTCCAATTTAATTACTTTATTCTAATAGAAAATGAACTGATCTTTTAATTAATATTTTTTATAAGCCGGTATTTCACATATTTTGTGTAAAAAGTGATCTTTAAACATTTTGACGGTATTTTTAAAAGCTTTCTATAAAGACGCCAAAAGCTTAACTTATAATCACGGGAAAGCCCGTTTAAAGCTCTACAGTTCTCCGCCAATGAAAAGACGGTATTTAATCATCCCTCGTTCCGCGAAGCATTTGAATGCAGGCGTGTCAATTTTTCAACCGGCCGACCTCGCATTCTGACCGCGAGGGGCTTCGCTTTCGTCGGCGATTCTCCAGCTCCTAATAATCGGACATATAAACAACTTACACCATTGTAACGAGGAAAAGCTGAACTTTTACAAGGTGTACGGCATTTGGTGTTTTATAGCGAAAGAGCAAAGAAACAGCGATCGGAATTAACCCGATTTTACCGATACCACGCGGTCGGAAGGCCGCGAGTGCCCGCGAGGCCGTGTTTACGCTACCTACTAGTTGTTGGGTCATTTCTAAATACTTACAACCATTTTTAAATACTTACAATCAACTCCTCTTCTTCTTCCTCCTCCTCAGGATCCTGAAACGAGAAAAATAAAAACTGTTTGTTGCTTGCCTCACTCACAGTAGGTTTATGGTGAAATCTAACAAGTTGTATGCATCACATTATGTGTTCCACTTTAGATTGATAATAAAGTCGTATCATCAGGCACCAGTACTTAACTCAGAAATTACAGATGCAACACCTGAAATCATCTGTAGGGCCTCTAAGACAAAGGGAAATTTCTGCAAGAACTTGTTAGAAGGCAGGGACATAGTTTTATTGCCCCACAAAGACTGGAACCCCTGCCTACAGTAGTAAAGAAAAGTTTGTTCCAACAACTGAGTCACAGAGTATGGAGACACGTGAAAACACTTCCCCAGCCAGCAACAACATCATAGATTCAAACACGTATTTATTGACTTCATACAACAGGCGCTACTTCTACATACAGTCTAGCATGCACATAGCAAACAGATTTTCAAGTCTCGAATTTCTTCTTTTATGTTATGTTTTTTTTGTAAGTAAAACATGTACATAGTGAAACTTGTACATAATGAAAAGATTTCAATGTCCCGCCGATCTTGCTACATACATATGTGCTAGACTGTATGTTTGTTGAACTGTCTCAAAAACCTCTGGTGTATTTTTATTTCTGTGTACCCGGCATATATTAGAGTAAAATTGACTCCTCTAATCAGGTGAATGCGCATGTCAGCAGAGAATACAGTTTGAGTGTTTGAGGAAAACAGAAACACAACGGTGAACTTGAGAATAAGCACAAAGTCATCAACTACCAATAAACAGAGAGAAACCACAGAGACAAAATAACCAGTAAGAAGCTGTATCACCATCACCTCAACAGATGGACACTACTTAAACCACGAGATTGAGTCCCCGGACACCAGCTGGAAATTTGAGCATTAAAGTACACAAAAAGAAAAAGTAAGCGACAACTTCGTACTCATTGTTTTGTGTGCTGGTGAAAACAGAAAAGACTGCACAAGCTTGAAGCTGATGGGTAAACTCTACAATGTGACTGTGTGTTGAGTTTTTTAAAAGCCAGCAGCAAATTCTGCTCAAACAGGATGTAAACATTCACTGTAACTACCAAAGTAAACAAATTAAAACTATCACAATTATGTTCATAAAATTCTCAACAGGGTCACATGAAGAAAAAAATAAGCACAGTAAACTTATTACATCTTCACAGAAGCAAAAGCAGGTGCAGTCAGCATCTCCCTGTAGATGAAGAAAACGACTCAATATTTGATCATAACTCATTGGTACACACAGAAACATCAACTTAAACACACACAAGATATGCCATGGCTATAACACAAGGAATGACTCATAGAAACAAATAATCCCCTCAAGAATGACAGCCCCCCCCCCCCCCCCCCCCCCCTACCAGAGTATGGCTTTTCACATTTCTAAAAATATTCTGTTTTTAGAATGACCAAGTAAACTTTTGGACTCTAGTGGAATGACAAAAGACATAAAAGTTATCATAATATAGCATGACTAAAGACAAGGGAAAGCCAACCAACCGTTTAACAAACCCGTTGCCCCCAAATAATTTAATATTTCATCATACAGCTACAAAGAAATCAAACCATTATAAATCATATTGTGAATTCGTGGTTAACACAAGAAAAGTTCCAAAATGCCTTAGGTTTACACTTACCCACAATGAAGTCAAAATTAAAAGATAGTATACACGACTTATCAAAGGATCTGTTCTGTTATCTATCACACACAAATTCCCGACAGTCATTGACAAATAGACCAAGTACCTACACATCTAAACAAAGTAAACAACCATTTCCCATCAATCTAAATCTGCACGTAAGACTTATCTTCTTTTCTGGATGGGGAACACCTAACTAGCTATGGGTGTATGTTACAATTCAGTCTCGCAATTCTAGTGTACTTTAAGGCAGATCGTGCTTTCACCTTGTATGCTATAAGTATAAAAGCTGGAATAATCCCTTTCTTAACCTTTCTTATGAGAACCGAACAGCCCCCCACAATCTCTTGGAAGAAAACGGAACTTGTCTATGGTCAGTGACAACGCAAGAACATCAAGTCACTCAAACACACACATAAACTAATGGGATAAAAGAAAACACCAATAAAAAAACAAAATTCAAATAGAACGCCTCTACTTCTCCGTCTTCATCCTCTTCTTCACAAAAACAAATGCAAGCGCAAAATGGCTCATCATCCTCCTGAAAACAATAGAGAAAGTTTTAGAGACCAGCAAAATGAGTAAGCACACACACATGGTTTCCATGAAATTATAACAAATGTGAAAGGGGGATTAACCACAGTCATTAGCACTACAAAAAATGCAAGACTCAATAAACTTATGACTTCCTCCATCCGGTCTTCGGCCAGTTCTACTTTGTTGCTCAACCACATCATACGTCTCTTGAGACTTGCTGAGGACCTAAAGTGGCTAAAGATGTAAAAAAAAAAGTCATAAAATGTATAAATGTAAATGGTGAACCAAGCTGAAGAATTGGTCAGCAGGAACTGTAGTAAGTACAAAAACTCTGTGTAACATTCAATACATGCGAGAGCACTGTAAACAAGTCATAAAATTAATAAGACCACATTACACCTACCTTTCCCTCGGTGATTGACCCCAAAAAGTGGGCATTGATGAATGATTGACATGTAACATTTTATACGTCAGTACAAACTATACAGATTTTAACACAATAAGCTTTGTAGGAACAGTGAACTCAGCTATGCAAGGGTACTATACTGCATCTAAATTCTGCAATGTAAACGTTTGTAACGAGCAACAGCAGCACTTCTGAAAGAGGCACAGTGGAGCAAAACAAAATGGTGTGTACCTGTGAGATTCACTGTATTTCCACAGGGTTGTGAATGAAAGTCAGAAAATAAAGCATGTACTGTGTTTCTGCTAATTTTGAAAAAGGGAGAAAGTCCCTCACCCCCTCCTTTGGAGTATAGTGTGTGTGTGTGTGTGTGTGTGTATGTGTGTGTGTGCGCGTGCGTGTGTGTGTGTGCGTGTGAGTGTGCATGCATGTGTGTGTGTGTGTGTGTGTGTACAACTTTCAGGAGAAGGTAAATTTATGGAACGAGAATTGCTGAGAATGTATGAAAGATGACACAAATTAACATACAAAAACCATTGACGGCGAGATCTAGTCAATAGTTACGGGCGAGGGAAACCCAAGAGTCTTGGTGGAAGCCCCGAAAGACAACAAAAATAGATGGCAGAAATACGATCTATATTTGTGCCAAAAACAGAGATGTGTTAGTGTTAGGTGCTCGCTGTAGCTTCATGTAGAATCTAGATAGATCTAGACTCTAGAGTCTAATACTAAATCTATCCATTGATGAGTTAGAGCTAATAATATCAAGGAAGTGGCTATTCTCATCCGGGGTGAGAATAGAAATACGATCGACCTCTCACCCTGGGTAAGACTTGCCACCGTAGGCTATTCTCACCCGGTTTGAAACAAGACCTGTTTTTCCTAATTTCGGAATACTTTCTATCGATGTGGATGATCAAATGGATAAAGGCAAAGAAAAGATTACGTTATAGCACAAAAGTAAGCAAATTTTATAGACTACAAAGATGCTATGGCTATTTCACTTTTCGAATCGAGCCGAGCAACGGGGGTCGCCATTTTGTTTTGCCCGGAAGTTCTCGCAAGATCTATTCCTCCCCTCTTCTCTCTCTCTGACTCTTTCTGAATACTGTCTATCGGTGTGGACGATCAAATTGACCAAAACAAAGTTAAAAAATGATGTTAAAACACAAAAGTAAATTAATTTGGTTGTGTACAAAGATGCTACCGCTATTTAACTTTTCGAATCGAGCCGAACTACGCGGGTCGCCATTTTGTTTTGCCCGGAAGTTCTTGCGCTACTCCTCTCTCTCTTTCTCTCTCTCTCCACTGCCCACAGACAAAATTGTACGCTTTTAGTAGGCTACAGTTGTAATGGAACGTTTGTTCACGGCACAGAATTCTCCAATTTTTCTGTTATCACAGTGTAGAATTCTGTGGTTTAGGGTGAGCGCAAAATTGGTTGGCCTAGATCTAGGCTAGCCTATAACGGTGAACGCGCACCAGGTAAGACGTAAGAATAGCCAAAAGACTCGCCTGCACTATTCTCACCCCGGGTGAGAATAGAGGTGGGTAATTAATATCAACACCGGGGGGATTCCTCAACCCTACCCAAACCAAAAATAATGAAAAAAAATCTGGTCCTAGAGAATCTACTAGGCAGAAATAGTATCAACACCAAATTTGAGGCAATAAACTGGACAGACACAGCACAGTACAGTTGGCCTACCCTACCTATTCCTAGATCTAGATCTAGATCTAGATATCTAGTATCTAGTCAGGCAAGTGACGACAGTCGACAGCGACACAGTGTAGAAACAGTGGCAAGGTCAAATGATACTCAATCAGATTGTTATGGAACCGGATAAAAAAACATCAATGGGGTAATACAATTTCAAAAGAAATGCACGCATCATAACATTAGAACAATTTGAAATACCCATAACAATAAAACAGATTCATAAACAAACGTTACCTCCTCTTTTGGGTCTGAGGCCGCAACGACTTGAGTACCGAGAACCATCTTGGATTTTCGCAAGTAACAGAAAGGCCAGGTAAAGAGGGAAGCTCGTTCGATATCTCACGTACGAAGCTCTGACAGTTTTTAAAAAAATTAACAAGTTCAAAAGAAAGCTACCACCGAGGACAGGTGGAATATTAGAAAAAAATGAGTAAAATTGAAACAGATGTTATGATAAAGATGTATATTGGAAAGGGAATAACACTTTTTGGTTCAGATAAAATGTTACTTTTGCTTCGTGTTTATGCAAACAGTCATTTATCAGAAGACAACTTGGCATACCAGAAATATGGCCAGCTAGGAAAGATTACTCTCAATGTTTTTCTAAGAGAGATAATCCGAGTAATATCAAACTTGGGGAAAAAATACAATAAAGATTTTATATAATAATATTATTATTATTAGGCCTAAATCTAGATTTATGTGGTTTCCAAGAACCAGATCGAACAAAAAATCAAGCAGATTAATACATTTGAGATATATCGCATATAATATTATTATACTTTTGGGAAAGTAAAACCAATGCTGCCAACTAAAACAACACATTTGCGATAAAAATGAAATAAAGATGAACTCACCGATGTACGAACCGGAGACTCAGATTCATAGACTTCCACAGAATTTTAATAGAATTCTGTGTAGACTTTGTACAAAAGACAATAGATTTACACTATTAGTTTAAAAAGGAGGTAACTCTATGTACAAGGCTTAGACTGCTTCGTTCTTTGAAGTGGAAAGTAACGTTATAATTATATGTATTGCGACCGTTCCTAACTGGGAAACTAAATACAAATAAATTATACTTTTTTTTAGTTGGGCGTGAAGGGGGTGGCGGGGGCCTATATATATAAATATATACAATTATATTTGCATTTCATTCTAATAAAATATACAAGAGATCTCTATCGACATCACGGGGAAAACACTAACTCCAACTCAAAACCATGTAAATTTGTGATGATTGATGATTTAAAAACTTTTTTTTAAAAGGTGAACAGAATATGTGCAGAATACAGCTCTTTTGTCTGTCTAGTTTTTAGATTAGTCCACCAGTATAAAGTTGTTGCAAATGAGACTTTAAATTCTTGGCTACAACAGAAAAGTATCGTTTAAAAAATAATTGCTTTATCAAACAATAATTTATATTAGTTAGCCTAGATCTAGATCTAATTTTCTAATTTTAAAAAATGCGCTTCCACCAAGACATGAAAAGTAATTAAATTTGGAAAATAGATGTAAAGGTTACCCTCTCCCCTTAATTATTCCTCCTCCCACTCCTTATAAAATACACACATGTACGTACGTACGTACGTACGTACGTTACGTACATACGCGCGCGCGCACACACACACACACACACACACACACGCACGCGCACACACACACACACACACACACACACACACACACAGTGGCGAAGCGTCGACTATATAATCAAATAATCACTGCTTCCCTTCCTAACTTTGAAACATTGTCGCAGTCAAATTCCCCCAAGACGCAAACCTCATAAATTAAATGTAAAAAGACGTTCATAATCATCAATGAACAATAGACTATGCCTAACCTTCAAAACCGTTTCATTGCCACAGAAATAGCCTGTTCGCCCCTATCGGGCCATTCCATAAGCAGTCACAAGCTTTGATTATGTAAGCTTAAAGTAAGGCTGGAAGAGTCTACCAATAGAGTTGAAAGGAACATATTGTGCATAGCAGTCAAAACTATTTCATTTCCACATATACCCTGTTCACCCCTTTCGAGCCACAGTTATAAGCAGCCACACGCGCTGATTATGTAAGCTAACTATTACACTAACTAGTCCTAATAATATCTTGACTGCTGCGAGTGCTTGTTTTTTTTCCTCGACATTTTAACGTCCTATAATCAGATCGTGACCTCGATTATGACACTGGCTCCTGGCCGCGAAAAGATAGACAAAAACAGCCAAATGTGAAATAAAAAATTAATAATTGGCATGCTCTACCAAAGTGTTTAGACTGTCTGGTATATAACCTGCCATTGTAGTACTGACATCTCTGCTTCTTTCCTTGGTGTTAGTGTATTCAAATCTAAAATTAAATTCAAGGTTAGTTAGAACAAATATTTAATTAAATACTTTCCGGATTATTTTAGCGGTTGAATATGCATACAACATGAATTCAGGATTTGTTTTCATTCACAACTCAGAGTTGCCGCCTCCAGTAAGATTCTTGTGACTTGTGTGAGTGTGATATCTCCAGGCCCTATCTGGTCCCATCTCACTTTGATTACCCTATCAAATAAGTCAGCCTTAGCCTCTGCACACACTCATACACACACACACACACACACACACACACACACACGCATACCCCCCCCACACACTAAAGTAGTTTTCATATTGCCCTCCTGTGCTCTTTAACCCTCACCGGCCACCTCTCCTACAACACCCCACCTGAATCTCCTGGCTACCCGGTACCCAAAAATATAACCAAACAAGCAACCCCCCCCCTCCCACCTCTCCGGCCTACAGCCTAGTAATGTGGCCTAGAAGAAAGAAATTTTTTTAATATAAAAAAGGCCATATTAGCTAGTGCGTTCATGTCATGATCATCTGTGCTTTTGCTTAGGCCTATAGATGACGTTATAGAAGATAGTGACGAATGTCACGTAATCCAACAAATTATGTTTGCCCAATTTTCACCGCAGCCATAAATAAATCGTAGGTGTACTTTTCTGGGGTTCAATCCTCTCAGTCCAGTCTAATGACAAGACACAAGAGAAGGCACACCTTCCTGCCCTTTCCTACACAAAATGATTGGTAGGCCTAGCCAAGAGTAGACCTAGCATAGCCTAGAGCTTAAGATCACTGGTTTTCAAGATCAAAGTTCAAAGGTCAAGTTCATTGACACTCTTTATGGTGGAAAAACAAAAACATGATGAGAAGTTTCGTTATTTTTGCGATACGAGGCAGGCTTAGATCTGCTCTAAATAAACGGTCAAATATGTATAGATCTGCGAAAGTAAATCATCCAAACTTATCAACAGAGACTGTGACAGAAGTTTTGAATCCTTCACAGGAAGAAGAGGAAGAGGAAGAAGCAGAAAAGTAAGACGCTTTTAACACAGTACTTGTTCACTTTCTACTTTCTTAACTTTCTTTCTAACTGCGGTTAAAACATGAAATCGTTCTGTTTACACGGGTCTAAAAGTAGGATGACCTAGCAACATAATCTAAAAACCCATTCATAATGGGCACTGCGAATTCGCTAAGGTTCCGACACGTTTTCTTTGATGTTAGCCTAGAGCTTGTCTCCTTTTGCGCGACGTCAAGTCACGTGTGGTGCTTGCTGCTCTAAAATCAATCAAGTAACATAGAAACCGTCTCCGCGACAGATTTCTAGCCTAGGCCTAGATTAGTCACGCGCGACTGTCGCGTCCGATCGGTCCGTGTTATTCACAAACCGGCTAGATCTAGATCTAGATCTAGAATCTAGATCTAGATATAGATATAGAGAAATCTAGATCTAGACTCTACATGCAGAAAGGCAAATTTGACAGGAAGGACAAACCCCCCCCCCCCAACTGATTACTGTTAAAACGCGCAGCGTTATCTTACATATTTCTAGCATCTGCGTTTGTCGCCGCGATTTTTTACCTTTTTTTGGTCCGCGAATCGCGGCCTCGATTTTTTTGCATTTTCAACAAAAAAGCTTCTTCACAACAATATTATACATGTATTTTTGATAATATCATAATGTTAAGGTGTCCATGTATAGATATTTTCATGCGAAGAAGGAAGGTACATTACATACTATACATTGCAGCTTGCTGTTTTACATTTATTTTTCCCTTTTGTTGTGTTTTAATTTGTTGGTGTGTTGATTTTAAAAGAACGTTCTGATGTGTTGTTTTTCTATTTTTGGTGTATACAGCATAATGTTATTTATAATGTGATGTTGTTCCTACATTAAAAAAAAAGTATTATAGTTATGTTAGAGCAGAGAGTTTACAGTAATACTAGAGAGACGGCACTTCACCCGGATGCGCGTATCTGGGTCATCAGCTGATCGTGGAGAAACGCGCGGTAAACAAAACAAACTGCGTCTATTGTTCAAGGCATTTACGTTGATCGCAGACAAGCATGGCCCCGGTTAGCACGAAATGTCAATGGTGTTCTGCTATAAACTGCACCTATTAGAATCAAAATCTGAGTTTCTTTCGATTTCCAAAGGATAACGAATATATTTTGATGAATAAAAAAATATAGATCAAATTTATGACAATGTGATTGTGGTCCTACCAGACTGACACTCCATGCACAAACTCAAATATATTGGGTTGGTTTTTTTTTCCTGTCTAAATGCCCAAATTGAGCTTGCATTCTACTAGTGAAAGATAATATGTTACCTGGGTCTGCAAAAAGATGTCTAAATACAAAGTGCCATCGATCGGTTTTGCTACTTTCTTTGTCCCATTACCACTTTTTGTTTGGGGTGGGGTGGGGGTGGGATGGAGGATGGAAGGTGTTAGGGATCTTGTTTAACTCTTTAAGTGGTAGATCTATCATTATTGGGTCATGTGATTTTCCATGATCTGAAATTGTGAGTATTTAATATAATGTGTTTATGTGTTTGTAGGTGTGTTTGTGTGTGTGTTTGTGTGTGTGTGTGTGTGTATGTGTGTGTGTGTGTGTGTGTGTGTGTGTGTGTGTGTGTGTGTTTGTGTGTGAGAGAGAGAGAGACAGACAGACAGACAGACAAACAGACAGACAGACAGAAACAGAGACAGAGAATCAGACTGACAGACTGACATATAGACAGAGCGAGAGAGGGGAGAAAGAGAGACAGAGAAAGGGAGACACAGAGAGAGGGAGAGAGAGAGAGAGAGAGAGAGAGAGAGAGAGAGAGAGAGAGAGAGAGAGAGAGACAAACAGACAGATAGACAGAGAGACGGACAGACAGGTAGACAGACTTATAGACAGACACGTAGACAGAGAGAGAGGGGGGAGGGGAGAAAGAGAGACAGAGAGGGAGAGAAAAAAGACAGACAGACAGACAGACAGACAGACAGACAGACAGACAGACAGACAGACAGACAGACAGACAGACAGACAGACCGACAGAGAGGACAGAGGGATACTGGAGAACGAGTAGATTTGCAGACAGACAGACAGACCGACAGAGAGGACAGAGGGATACTGGAGAACGAGTAGATTTGCTGAAAATTATATCTGCGTCTATTTGTTTATTAGATAGAAATAATATGTTAACTTAAGCCAAAAACAAGTCTTACAGTTTATGGCCGAGGGAGGCAGGGGGTTGCCTAAAATATGCGATAGAAATCACAGGCCTCCTCCTTTGATAAAGACCTAGTAACCCAGTGAACTAACTAAAGACGGTACTACATTTTCTCATGACATGACAGCATCCCTGAGCATCGCCGTGGCAGCGATCACCGCGCATAAGTGTTTTCGCGCCCCGCGCCGGGCGATACGCGAAACAATGCATTGTTGTTATGGAGCGCCGCCACGAGTGTCACCTCTCTATTACTGTAAACCCTCTCTGGTTAGAGTGTGTTTCCACCAAAAGCCGAATACATGTACTAGCCGTTGTGTGTGGTTCCATAATTTGCCTGTTACTTTTTCTTGAATTACACTCGTTTAGGGTTGAAAAAAACCCGGCCAATCTTCGGAAAGGTGGACACACGCCTTTATTTGTTAATTTTTGTTAATTATGTGCTATTCTAGTGTTGATTTCATTCTGTTGTGAAACCTGTATTTTTCACGTTTTTACACTCCGTATGGCTACAAATGATATTCTGGATTCTTAAAACAGAGCCCAAGAAATTCTGGTGCTTTAGATTAAGTTACCTCTATCAACACATTACTATACGCTATCGCAGAGAGACGAAAGCTTGAAAATTAATGGCAGCTTTTTATGGCAACTTTTGCCATTTTTGTGGCAACTTTTGGACTAAAAAATGGCAACGAACGCAGATATTTCTGTACAAAAGGTTAAGTTATAAGTGTTGGGACCAAATACACATGTACTACTTGATTTTTCTTAAATTCCACTACCGATAGTTTTATTTTGCTCGTAGCCGGTTTTGAGATGACAAAATTGTGCAGCGCAATGCAGGTGGCCGGTTCTCTGCACTAGGCCTAGCCTAAGCCGGTTCGAGCATGACGCGTCCGCGCACAGCCGTGACACGAGGCGTCATGAATATGCTGTGCGTTACTGTTCGCTGTCATTGGCCATTGGCCTAACAAGTATAGATCTACATGGCTACATGGACGACGGCGAGTTATAGGTCTAGTCATCATCATCCAGTGCCAGAGCTGCGACAGACATCGGCTATCATGGTTTTCCATTCATTCCTTTGCTCGGATGCTCTAAAAAAAAGCAACGTTTCCCTGATCTTTCCCTGTTACCCATTTGTTTAGGTTCCCTAAGTATGTTGTTCTGGGCCTACCCCTGCCTCATTTGCCCTCATTTTTGCCAGTGAGAGCTAGATGTTCAAGACCCTTATTTCTATTCTGGTGTCCCCAACAGGGGCGAAGGCTGACTTGTTTGATAGGGTAATCAAAGTGAAACGGGACCAGACAGGGCCTGGAAATATCGCACAAGAATCTTACTCGAGACAGCTAGTTGTGAATGAAAAAAAATCCTGAATTCATATTTGTATATTCAACCGCCAAAGTAATCGGGAAAGTAGGCCTATCTGATTAAATATCAATTCCAACTAAAATTACATTTAACTTTAGATGTGAATATACGAACACAACTCAAAGAAGCAAAGATGTCAGTACTAGATCTATATGTTATACAACTGGACCAGTGAGTCTAAACTCGTTGGTAGAACATGACAATTATCATTTTTAAATTTCACATTTGGCTGTTTTTGTCTAGCTTTTCGCGGCCAGGAGCCGGTGTCATCATCGAGGTCACGATCTGATTATAGGATGGTAAAAAGTCGAGGGAAAAAGACAAGCACTCGCAGCAGTCAAGAGATTCAGTGTAGTAGTTAGCTAACATAATCAGCGCTTGTGACTGATTATAACTGTGGCCCGAAAGGGGTGAACAGGGTATATGTGGAAATGAAACAGTTTTGACTGCTATGCACATGTTCCATTCAACTCTATTGGTAGACTCTTCCAGCCTCACTTTAAGCTTACTTAATCAAAGCTTGTGGCTACTTATGGGGTGGCCCAGAAGGGGTGAACGGGCTATTTCTGTGGCCGTGAAACAGTTTTGAATGTTATGCATACTGTTCATTGTAGATTATGAACGCCTTTTACATTTAATCTATGAGGTTTACGTTTATGGGTGAATTTGACTGCGACAAAGTTTCAAAATTAGGAAGGGAAGCAGTGATTATTTGATTATATAGACGCTTCGCCACTGGACTCCCCAAAACTGCATTTGTCGTTTCCTGATTGTTTTTTTTTAAATTTTAACATTGAGCGTCCCACGTGGGCTTCATCAAGATTTTCACTGTCTTTAGTAATTGTCCAGCAATCACAGCCATATAGAAGGGTTGACCATTTCAATGAACACCAAAATGAAAGTTCTGAAATGCTATGTATTTAAACTAATATTTTAACGAAAGATGACTGGTTAAAACAAAATGCTTTAGAATGACACGTTCAGTGCTTTGACTGGCCCTTTGCCAGTAAATTACTTTAAACTAATGGTTGAGTGTAAACCTGGTTACTGGGACGTGTGGGTTCAAACTTTGTTGCCTGTCGTTTCATAAAGGAGACTTTATATTTGTAATATTCTAGCAGCTCTCTCGCCTCATATTTGACATTATGTGACCAGTACTAGGAGAAGTCGTTGACCCGGTGTCTGAAAGCCATTACTGTGAACATATGAAATGGTAAAGGTTTAACGCCCCTTTCTACATTATTCGGTTATTTAAGAGGAGGGGTGGGGCGGGGCGCTATCTGCCCGTGTGGAAATTTAGCTGTACTACGTGAAATATCCCAATGTGTCAGGTCATTAATTGTATGACTAGAATTGTTGACAGGATGCCCTCAATGTGTTTACAAAAATTTATAAAATAAAACCCCAAATCAACCCAAACTACAGGACAAGACTTTTTTTT